AAACCCTAATCTACTCTTTAAAAGAAAAATGTCCTGCTGTGGAATGACATGGGATTTTTTTGCAGGGAGATAAGGGCTAGGCTGAAGCCCACAGGCAACATTAAGGTTTTTACTTCCAACAAACTTTCAAATCTATTAGTGTATGTTGCCTTATTTCCTAGGCTTGGGTAAGTCTGGCTTTGGAAGTCAGAGAATCTATGAGGTTTGGATACTGCCCTTAGATAAAGAGAGTACATGCAAGTTACTTTAGAGCTGATAAGCTTTTTGCCGTGCTTGTTCCTTGAAAGCTACTCAGAAAGAATGTGGTCAGTCAAGAGTTAATTTTCTCATCTGGGACCATGACCAGCAGTGTAGCCACTGCCACTAAGGAGCTAACATTCACAACTGCTTGCTTTAAATGAAGGGATTTATGTGTATTCACAGATTAATCTAAGCAGCAAATGCTGTGCAGAAATACATTTTCTTTATAACTTCCCACAGAAAAGAAGCAGTGGCTGGGCAAATTGTTAGAAATGTATTCTTTAACTAGACAATGATAAACATAGCATGTTCTTGCATCAACGAGGGTGTGTGCATGTGTGCGCATATATAAAATTTTTCTTTCAATATTCAGGAAGAGTGAATGTCTCCATTTATGACAATAGGCCTCCTTCCTTGGTGAAGTCCTTTTCACCAGTAAGGCCTCAGTCTTTTTCCCAGCTACCGAGCCATTTGGTTTCTGCTCTTACAGAATTAAAGACAAATGAAGGGAAAAAATGAGTTTGCCTACTCAGGCCTTGTCTATATGGCGCTTTAGTCCACATTACAGGGCTGTAAATTTCAGTGCACATGAGCATGTTGTGTGCTAACTGGCCTGATGGTGCTCACTAAAAGTTCCTTAGTGTGTGTGAATGTAGCTCTGTTTCAAACAGCACTATGTTAAGATGCATAAGAAAATGTTTAGTGCACATTAGAAGGGTCCATATGGGCCAGTTAGTGAGTGACACACTTATGTAGACTAAAGTATCATGTAGAGAAGCTCTCAGATTGTCTATACAATTAAGACTGAGTGGAGAAGCTAAAAATATGTTTAGCAGAAAAGGGAACCAAGTTAACGCTTGATGGCAAAGGTAACCTTGAAGAAAAATTCTAAGGTTTTTCAGACAAGCACTTTCAGTGACAGAGGAAGTGTATGGGTGGGGAAATAGAATCCAGTTTTGAGGCTGCTGCCTTATGCTGCAGGACACTGTGCTCTCTCTTCTCCTCCTCCCCCTCCCAGCTGCTGGACTGAGGTAGCAGGAGTCTCCTTTACTTTGGCCCAGGAGGCTGCATTCACATGATAAGAATGGCCAGACTGGGTCAGACCAAAGGTCCATCTAGCCCAGTATCCTGTCTTCTGACAGTGGCCAATGCCAGGTGCCCCAGAGGGAATGAACAGAACAGGTAATCATCAAGTGATCCATCCATCCCCTGTTACCCATTCCCAGCTTCTGGCAAATAGAAACTAGGAACACTATCCCTGCCCATCCTGGCTAATAGCCATTGATGGACCTAGTCTCCATGAACTTATCTAGTTCTTTTTTGAACCCTATTATAGTCTTGGCCTTCACAACATGCTCTGGCAAAGAGTTCCACAGGTTGACTGTGCGTTGTGTGAAGAAATACTTCCTTTTGTTTGTTTTAAATCTGCTGCCTATTGATTTCATTTGGTGACCCCTCGTTCTTGTGTTAGGAGGAGGAGTAAATAACACTTCCTTTTTTACTTTCTCCACACCAGTCATGATTTTATAGACCTCTGTCATATCCTCTCTTAGTCATCTCTTTTCCAAACTGTAAAGTCCCAGTCTTATTAATCTCTTCTTATACGGCAGCTGTTCCATACCCTTAATCAATTTTGTTGCCCTTTTCTGAACCTTTTCCAATTCCAATATATCTTTTTTGAGATGGGGCAAACATCTGCATGCAGTAGTCAAGATGTGGGCACACCATGGATTTATATAGAGACAATATGATGTCTTTTTATCTATCCCTTTCTTAGTGATTCACAATGTTGTTAAGTATCAGAGGGGTAGCCGCGTTAGTCTGAATCTGTAAAAAGCAACAGAGGGTCCTGTGGCACCTTTAAGACTAACAGAAGTATTGGGAGCATAAGCTTTCGTGGGCAAAAACCTCACTTCTTCAGATGCAAAACCTCACTTCTTGCATCTGAAGAAGTGAGGTTTTTACCCACGAAAGCTTATGCTCCCAATACTTCTGTTAGTCTTAAAGGTGCCACAGGACCCTCTGTTGCTTTTTACAATGTTGTTAGATTTTTTTGACTGCCACACCACCAGTGGATGTTTTCGGAGAATCTCTTTCATGAGTGGTAACAGCTAATTTAGACCCCATCATTTTATATGTATAGTTGGGATTATGTTTTCCAATGTGCATTACTTTATCAATACAAGTATGCATTTGTGCCCTGCTGCAGACATGTCTAACAGGCTTCACCATGTTTATGCCTATTCGCTCAAAGGGCACTCTCACAATGGGTAGTGTTAGCTGGGAGACCGTCTTTGGGCCCTTCCACTGGCATTCAAATAAGGCACAATAGTCTCTCACATCCAGGTGGATGCCCAGCCAGTAGAATCTCAGGGTCACCTGTCAAACATCTTCTCTCTTCCCAAGTGACCCCCATATGGGGCTGTATGGGATAACTGTAGTACCCTCCTTTGAAACTTCCTCAATACTAGGAGTTGCATTCATACCTCTCCCATTCTAGGATCCTTCATCGCCCGGTATGCTCTCTTGCCTATTTATTCAAAATGGGGCCACTGTTTCAACTGCTGGGGATCCAGTAGTTTGCTGTCCGCACAGGCAAGCTGCTCATAAACCTTGTTCAGTGTGGGGTTGTTTCTTTGTTCTTCCACAAAGTCCCCCTCATTGGAAAGTAGGTCTAGGTTGACGGGCAGTGGCAAGCCCTTATGGCCGCAGGTGACATATCCTTCACTAATGGGGAGGGTCTTTCTTCATCTTCCTTTGATCCTCTTTCTTCCCAAGGCTCCCTCTTGGCCACTGCAGCTGTCTCCTGCCTTCTCGGGTCTTCCAGCTCCACTTTCTCCAATGAGGTGCCCTGCCACTCTTTGACCACTTCTTTGAAGAACTTCCATTCATGCCCAAGTATGACCAAGCAGGGCAGGTCTTTTGCCACTGCAGCCTGTAATGTTTCTATGTGTTTTTGCATGGTCAGCCGTACATCTCTTGTTGGGTAGGGTCAGATGTCCCCACAGATACACTGGAGGTTGATTTACATCCTCCGCTTTACTTCCTGTCCCCTCTAGCCTCTCCCAGACTAAGGTCTGGCTACAGTCTCAAAGCAGAACTGTGGTTGGTAGGTTTCTGGTGAGATATTTAAGCTGTCTAAGATGACTGCTTTGACATACAGCAAAAAGCAATTGCCTATGAACTAATGACTCAGATGATCAGAAATGATTCTGAAGTTTAACACTTCAGGCAGTGAGGAAATTAAGGCTTTCCCTATTGAGAGAGAGAAAGAGAGAGAGAGAGAGAGAGAGAGAGAGAGAGAGAGAGGATCCTTTGTATATGCACCTCTGTAACCTAGGTAAAATGAGCATGAAGAAGTGTGGGGGAAGGACAGATGCATATGGAAAAGATTAAAATGATAAACTGCCTAAAAATTTGTCCCCAGAACTAATCAAGGTGTTCAGAAAATATAAACTGTTTTACCTGAATCAGTTTCAGAATGGCTTTACAAGCTGTACTATTTTTAGATCTCCCCTGTTGGTACCTGACTTGACTTGCTAAAGTGGAGACCATCTATTTTCAGGTCTAACTCAAGTACTTGCAAGACAGCAACAACAGCACTTAAAAGCTGTTTTGCATGTGATGCATGAAAATATTTTCTTTTTATTCAGTTGCACTTTCATATCTAAAAAAGATGCTGCACCAAAGGGACCTGATAAGATACTAGAGTTCCTTCAGATATGATCATTTCAGAGAAAGTATCCCTGCAGGATTATTGTAGTAGAAAATGGGACTGATATATATGCCAATAAAGTTACATTTCAGACTCTTTGCAGCATTAAATAGCTCTCGCCAGTATTCCATAACAGATTTCAAAATTATGTTGTGACTCCTTTGAGAAAAATACAATGGACATCATTCTAAACTGCCCTTGAGGAGCATTTTATTGGTGAATGTAACAGGTCTGTTAATACGTACCTTAGAATGAGCATCTGTAATTTCTTTTTCCAGTAGATGTGTTGCCCTTGTGTTGAATAATGTTTTTCAAAAACTGGCCAGCTCATATTATAAACATACATGTCAGACTGCTTAGTCCTAAAACTTGTCAGTTGGCTTGTGTTAGGTTAGGTGACTACAATCTGGAGATCTGTGGATACTTCTTTAATAAAACATGTATTTTTTTTTGTACACCAAACTATTAATACAAACGATATAAATTATAATGCCAAAATCAATCTAAATTTACTTGCCTTCCAACAACAATAGAGTTCAGTTTGAAATCCTAAACTTCAGTAACTAAAAAAGCTATGTCAGAGAAGACACTGAGCTGCTTGGCTTAGTCTTCCTGTTTTAACTTACCTTCATGTTTGAGCTGGAAGTGTTTATACTAGCACATGTGAATTCATAACATTTGTATTAGTATTGGTTTATATTTGCCAAGACAATGAAAAGTAAGAGAAAGCATTGATTTTTGAGACAGCACAGTTAATCAGCTAAAAGAAAATATAAAAACAAAACTGATTTTGTTGCACCATAGGCAGTTGGTATAAATGTGCAGAAATTAAGTGAAACAGACACAATTTCACAGCAAAAAGAAATCAATAATTTCATCAATAGGTTTGAGTCTACAATTGTACAGTACGTAAAAGTCTACCCAAATAATACATAGGAATATAAAACAACAAATATGCAAGTTCCTAACCATTTTCAGATTTAAATGATATCCACGTGAAAAATTTAAAACTTTTGACTTCTTATTTTAAAAACTTGTCTTAAAGGATTTGCTGTGAGCCTTCAGGTGATTCTGTCAAACCCTAAAGCTGTATTCAAACGCCGTGGGTCTCAACCAGGAATGCAAGAATCTGATTTTCTGAAACAGATAACAACCGTGGAGGAGTTGGAACCAAAAGCAAACAATTGCACAAAGGTACTAATTCCACTATCATTGCAGAATACTTATAGCTATCTTTGTAGATTACCGAATACTGCACTAATTAACCTTCTGTTTTTTAGGTTCTTGTATGGCACACTCGAACAGAAAAGGTAAATCTAGGTAATGAGCCAAAATACCACCTAGACACAGTTAAAATTGAGGTATGATCTAGAGCTATAACTGTGGGGGACATACTATAGGAAATGGATGTGGCTGAAGATGCCTGAAACTTCAATTAAGAATTCAAGCAGTGTACAATCTACCACTCTGCAACATCCTGTACTAGTCATCTGATGGACTTCTGTACAAACAAAAATTTGTCAGATAAGCAAATCTGATATCTTAAGAGACATAACATCTTTTGTCTTGTTTTGCATGCATTTCTCATCTCAGTATCATTGAACTGAAATATAAGCATTTGTTTTAAGAGTTTCCACATAGTAATACCAATCAAGACTGAAAGAACTGAAGTGCAACATTTTCAGAAACATTATTTATCCAGCTTAATTGATGGAATTATTATAAACTGGTTTAAGATCGCAAAATGTTGGTCACCAAAAATTTTTGTTAAAAGCACTTTCCAGATTAAATGTGGTTTTCTTGTATTACACAACAACTTTCTTGAAGTCACAGTGACAAGGTAGATCATACAGTATGAAATAAAAACCACACAATGGTTTATGGCTTTATCTTTTTAATATAGGGAAATAACATTTTATCAATACGAGGCACCATAAAATGTAAACACAATTACTGTCAAACCTGGATATATCTGCAAAAGTATCCTTATGTGGTGAGTTACCCTGTATGCATATTGTGCAATAAGTTCTCTATACCCATACACATATGGAGCCAAATTGCATATTTTGTCACAGGAAATTCAAATGGATCAAATATTCATGTTTTAAAAGAATAAACTAAAAATGTGTGGAACTACAGTAATATCCAGGTTTATCTTGCTTTCACTAACCATGTTCCCTGTTAAGCACACCATAATAACATCACAGTGAAATGAATGATAAAACACAGTATGTTTGATACACTAAAAACATTGTTCAGTGATACATTTACATTCTATTTATATGATTAAACATTTGTTCATACAGTACCTTCTACAAGGATTACTGGGTAATTTGGGGGGCAAGGTTTATATATTTAGAGATATTACTAACATGATAGCTACGTCCCTTATATGCAAACGTTTGATCTATAATTTTGAGAAAAAAAATTGAGTATGCAATTGGTAAAGCAGCTGCTTGATATGGTTTATGAAATCATATGTACTGTAATATGAAAGAGCTGCCAATGATATATAAATGTATTCTCAATCTGCTTTCCACCACATCAAATTTAAATCAATACAGCCCACAACACAGTCAGTGAGATAACTTCTTAATCTGAACAACTGGGAGAAAAGAAAAAGAATAAATGCATTTGAGCAAGGAATGTCAAGTGACTGTTCTGCATGAAACTGCTGTTGCAATTTTCATTTCCACAGTTGTGTGCTGAGAGTCTGACCTGAAGAGCTTCCTGTCCATCCTGCCACTGTATTGGGGGGCTGGCCAAAGCCCATCACATTGCTGGAACTAGTGAGATTCATGCCAGCCATTTGCTGATTCATCTGTGAAATGCACACACGGTTCTAGTTAGTACTGGTGTTAGAGCACACAAACTTTTTATCAGCTTGAAACAGTAAAAGGGTTCCTAAACCAAGTAAATATAATGTTAGGGAACAAAATGGTGGATTGATTTAAATCACTAATTTAAATCAGCAAGCAGGAAACCTTGATTTAACAAATTGATTTTAATAATATTTTGCATTTGTAATTTTTAGTTATTTTCCTAAAGAAAGTTATCAACTAATAAGAATCAGCCTATTACAACATGTTATTTGCTGCTAAATATGGTACTTTTTTTTGGCTAACCAGCAAGATACAGTGTATCTATACATATTTATTTAAACAATTATATAGCTTAACTCACCTTTAGTTTCTTAATTTTTACATTTTATGTTAGAAAATGGTGAATGAAGTATTAATTAGATGATTAATAATATTTTTATTTGTGATTGAAGGCAAGCTCTATTTGGATGGAAATCCAAATATACAAAAACAGCATTTAAATTTTTTTATTAAATGAAACGACTGTCAAAAGCTGGTTTAGCACATCAACAAAGTCTGCTTCCAGGTGTTTGGCCAGTCAGGAGAAAGCAAGGCAGAATCGTGCTAATACTGTCTTATCACTAAAACATTTGTAACTGGAGAGGAATGATAAAATAATTACATTGCTGCTTACATCTATAACAAACATATGAAGTGTACTTTAAGGGGTTATATAGATTTATTTAATTACGTTAATTTGTAATGTTCTGGTCAGCTTTGCAATCTGAAAATGTATTAAGGTAAACAGCATTTCTCAGTATGAATAAACTAAAATGTATTTGAAAGTAGTGGCTGCCATTATGCTTTGAAAAGTAATCACATATGTAAACATAAACGGTGAAGTAAAACAGTTTTTCAAAAATTTCAGTCTTAAACTAAGATGTTAACAGTTTTTTCCAAATATCTAATTGCTAATCTGATGTGTCCCCCTCACTGGACGCAACGAAATTTTTTGGGTATCTGTAGTAGTATGTCTCTTTTACCCTCTAGTTCAAAAAATTGAGTTAACTTATTCCACAAAATAAAAATAGTTTAGCATTTTCAGTCAGCATTTTAGTCCACAGGTTAATCTATCCTGCATTTTATAATTTCCATGTTTCAGTTATTACTGGTTTGACTTTGTATATATGAATTAGAAGAGTCAGGACATTAGCTATCATCGTAACATAATTTTACTCTATCAAAGTGAAATATTCACAATAACTATTAAATGAATTTTAAACTACTTTCAGCAAAATCATTCACACTATGATTTTTTTAAAATTACAATTCAAAAGTGAGCGTACAATCCTGTTTATCTTACTGTTTATCAAAATGGCCTCTTATCTGTTATGTTCCTCTGCAGTCATCACTTACCCAGTAACTCCTACGCATTATTTAAAATCCTAATTTCTCCCACTGCTGTTTTGTTCCCAGAACACTTCAGATAAATATGATTTTACTTACTGCATATTTATTCTGCAATTACATTTTTGATTTTTTTTAATCACTAGAATGTTTTGGTAGGAGAAGACTATTTTTATATTGATTCTTAAAAATTACTGTGAATTAATTACTTTGGTGGAAGGTAAGCAGTATTCTTACCACCTTCCTAAAATGACTCATTTTTTGGATCATTATACTAAAATTAAATGAAAGGCAGTAACTGGATGTCCTTTTTAATTAATTAAACCTTTTTTGTGAATTAGTCCATCCAAAGTTTAAAGAAATGAACTATGAATGATCAAGCTTTACAGAGAGTTTTCTGCAGATAGAGGCTAAAGATTTCATGTTTTAAAAAAAGTGTTCTCTATCCAAATTTCAAAATTATGTTTGCAGCGTGATTCTGAATTTCTAATTGTATCTGTTTGCGGGGAGTGAAGGCTCTTGAGTATTTCAGATCTTTTATGAATTGAGTTGTCTCTCATTTGCTGATCAAGGGAAGTGCAGCATCTCATTCTTGAGTGTGCTTTATGATCTAGAGATACAGAACACTGACTTTCTCGTTTTCATGAACTATTACAAAATGAACCTAACCAACAGACTGTTTTCAAACCGGAAAGGAAGGCTTTATTTTATATTTACATACAAAAGCCTGTGATTTTTCAACTATATTTTATATAAATTTATTAACAAAATGTTTGTGCAGAATTAGCATATGCTACAAAAATTACTTGAGAAAAATATTTAGCTATAATTATTGGTAGATTATATACAATTATGTAACTATGTTTTCATTTTTTTAAAATGTCCTGTTCCCAGAAAACCCCATATTTGGAAAAATGCAAGCTGTTTTGGGACTTTTTTTGAGACAAGTATTCTAAACTTATTTTTTAGAAAATGATACAATTGTAAGATTTGACCTATAAGCAAAAAATATTTTATATCCTAACAGGGTGGATAAAAATCAATTATTTAAAAATATGATTTTTTAAAATGTAAATTACATACAAGGTTTTTAAATATAAATATTTAAAATTAAATTTGAAATTATGGTATGTATGTTGAGACCTAAACTTAACATGATCAATTAAAATCATGTACATTAAATACAAAATGAATGATTATGCTATACATGTTTAGCTCCTTAAACTTCCAACGAAAACAAAAATTAATTTAGATATAAAATTAACCTCTCTCTTGAAATATTTGCTTTTAGAACGTTACACTGAATCGCTTAAATCAGTGGTCCCCAAACTGTGGGGTACACCCTTCTTGGGGGGCACGAAAGTACGTTCGGGAGGAGCACGTGGCAGGGCGTGGGCCAGCCCCCATGGCATGGGGAGGGAGTACCACCTAGCCCCACTCCACCCTCATTCCCTCACTACCGCCATCCACAGTTCTGCCCCCAGCTTCGCTGTCAGCCCAAGGTCTTCTGCTGCAGAAGCTTTGGCTGTGCAGTAATGGGGGTGGGTGGGGGGGTGGACAGATTCCATTACTGGTAAGGGGGGGCGTGACAGGAAAAGTTTGGGCACCACTGACAAGTACAGTACTGAGCACACACCTCAACACTCTTTATAATTGTTACTACAATGGAACCTTCAAACATGTTTTATCAACATAAAAAAAGTGTAAACTATCTTCAGATTATTTGGTTAGACTAACCATTATTCAACTACAGTAGAGTCAGGGCACAAACAGTAATGTGCATCCTCCACTAAAGCCTATTTTAAAGTATCTCATTTGAAAGTCCAGATGAATGGCAAATGGCCATTCTCATTGGGTCTAAGTTCTGTGCTCACTTACATGCATGCAATACCATTAAAATGAATGGAGTTGCACACATACAACTGATTGGAGAATCTGGCTCCATGAATTGGGCAACAGCAGTTAATACACAGTAACTCAGAGATTGTGGTATTTGTGGTAGTCATTTTAAAGTACATTGTTCAATTTGTTCTAGGAGTTGGCTAAATTGCACTCAAAATTATAGCTGGTATCTTTACTCTAAGTTTAAATGTATCACATCTGTAATATTATGCAGCTGTCTCAGACATGGAAGAAATAGTTTCATCACAGGGTCTACAACAGAGCAGAGCTACAGCTTTCCAAGTATAGCTTGTGGAAAACAAATGATTTTATTCATAAAACAGTAACTTTTATCCAATCAATACAAGGGCAAAAAAATCCTCACCTGAGAGATGTTCCATTGAGCTTGTTGATTTTGTTGCATGCCATAGTTATTTTGTGCAGTAACCATTTGTCCCACCATTCCTCCTTGGGGTCCAATGACATTTTGAGGAAGTCCCATCACACCAGTTTGTGTAGTGCCAGTGAAACCATTGGGCATTCCAATGCCCACCATCATACCTGTGTTCTGTCCTATGACAGGCACTGATTGTCCCATCATATTTCCCATCATTCCACCAGCTGCAGGCACAGGTACTCCCATGGCTGGAAAACCTTGAAAATGAGTTGATGGTTGTGTGGTAAATGGCATGGAAGAAGATCCCATGAAAATACCTGCATTTTGGAAGGGGGGTGGGGAAGAGGGAGGAACAGAAAGGAAGAAAATATTTTTTACTGATTTTCTTCCCTAAAGTTTGAATCACTAAATGCCAGTTTTAGAAGGTAGTTTGTAGAGCTGATTATGTCCACCCTATTGTACACAAAATCAGTATCTGGCAAAACT